TACCACAAATAGTTAATTTGTTTGTGCCATTGTTGTCAAGTGTCTTTCCAATTTCAGAACATAGAATGGGTATCTTAGCCGATATTTTTCGCCCACAATCAGCTGGACAAATAAAAAAAAGCTCAGAAAAGTGCTAAAAGTTTTAATTTGGTGCCATTAATTTCTCTGCTTGCTGACGATGCCAACCACACTGTGAATGTTCCCACAATCTAATGAGTATGCCTTAGGATATTATTGAATTTCGCTTAGTCATGCTTCTCAAAATTGACTTTCATTGAGACTAGACTGGACTGCAGGCTTGACCTAGCCTTGGTCTCAGCAGCACCCCCAGCAATGATCAAGCCATGTTTGTGCTGGCCAACCGTATAATTTCGACATGTTGATTGCTACGCCATACTGTCACGGCTGTCAATCAGTCAATGTCTCTCTCATATCACATTTTATAATTGGATTGTCCCATTAAGCAAACTCTTAATTGTCATTACAGTCGACAAAGTTATTTGTATTTGAATTAAGTAGGATTTATACACTATTAGTACATCTTAAATATGAACTAAATGAACTTCACTTGCATCGTAAGGCCTGTTCAGTATTCTGTAAATAAATTCACTATCAGCCATCTTAACTGACACTTAGTGACTAAAGCTCTTACTCAAAATCTACTGATTATCTCGATATCCTATTAAATTAGAATACTATTTATTTGTTCCAAGAGTTATAGTGGCGATACTTGTTCTGCTCGTATTTGTGGTACTAAGAATGTGAGTTGAATGAGTAGTGTGTCTAGTGGAAGGCTCTATCAATAATAATGCCTTTCTCTTGGTCCTTTCCTTTCTCAACCCTAATTACAGGGTGCTGGTGACCAGCGTAGCGAGATTGAGGTGATGCGTGGAAAGGCGGCAAATGAATCGAGAAATCTGGAGCAGCGTAAGGCCGCCATTGACGCGGAGCTGGCAGAAATTGAGCCCATGGTACGTGAAGCTCGTGCCGCCGTTGGCTCGATCCGTTCAGAGTCGCTTTCCGAGATCCGAGCACTGCGTGCACCGCCCGACGTCATTCGTGACATCCTCGAGGGCGTACTGCTGTTGATGGGCATTCGTGACGTCTCTTGGGTCAGCATGCGAGGATTTCTCGCCAAGCGTGGAGTTCAAGAGGAAATAAGAAATTTCGACGCTCGAAGAATTGCGCCAGAACTGCGTGCAAGTGTTGAACAACTGTTGGTCAAGCATGCAGAATCATTCGATCCCAAAGTAAGAATCTGGAGATGAAAAATTAACCCTGTTGGCACTTTTGTAGTGGATCCAAACCTTGCCTGAAGGCGAGAATTGTGCTATTTAGATTTGTTGGTATAATAGAAGTATTTTTCTCTCAATTTTCTTCTTTTTGTCGAATTTTTTCCAAGATAAGTTGAAAATAGTATCAAGATGGTGTTTCGTTAATTTTTATCTATGTTACAACTTATCCATTCTTCTTTATTTGGTACACATGTATTCACCCATTATGTATTTTCCTCTACTTCCGATGGTCTTCGTCGGCCTGCCAAACCAATTTAGTGGTCCATTTTGAAGAAAAATTTGTTTGGAAGGAATTCGTGAATTGGTCTTACTGGAGCCTTTATTTCGAACGCGGCGATCTTGTACTAAGCTTTCGTCTGGCATGTAACAGACATCGTTAATTCAAGAAAGCATATTCTACGAGTTACCGCAACAATATATCAAAACTACGAATTCCTTCCAACCAACTTTTCCTTCGAATAGGAAATTTGGGTCAAATCAATTCTATTAAGGGATTGCTTGAAGCCAACTTTTACTTCATATAACATTGTTGTCATTTTCACTTTCAAAAATCAAATCTTTCTAACCAGTAAAAAATGAAGGAATATTCTTCTTTTATCCGTGGAAATATTGTCATCTCTGTCTGTTTGGAATACTTGATATTATATGAAGTATTTAAATCCTCTAGGATTGTCTGAGCCGCTGCCCTTGGATAGATGCAGGAAAGCAGTTTAGACTCTTCACTTCTCATCTACTCCTCGTATTTTTGCTTCTAATAATAGTATTTATCTATGGACAAATATGCCTTATGAGATGTATTCACCCAATTTCGTTTAAGGTGATGCAGGACTGGTAGAAGAAGAATTTTCCCACAATGATATGAGTTGAACTGACGTCTGCGAAAGCAAGGTTATGTAAAATTTAATGGAAGCGTCAGCTCAACTCATATAATTGTGGGAAAATTCTTCTTCTACAAGTCATTCATTACCTTAAACGAAATTGGCTGAATACATCTCATATTACTGATTTACTGGTAGTCACGAAAACAATACTTAATTAGAAAAATACAAATATGCCTTATTTCTAACAGACAGAAATGTTTTGTTTTTACCTGCGCAGGTGGCTCGGCGTGCCTTTGTGGCCGCGGCCCCGTTGGCGACTTGGGTGCGCGCCAACGTGCGCTATGCCAGTGTTCTGGAGCGCATTGCGCCACTCGAGCGTGAACAAGAGGGCCTTGGTCGTTCACTGGCTCAGGCAGAATCGGCCGTCGATCGTCTGGCTCGTGGGCTGACCGACGTCGACTCGAGAATCGCAGAGTTGCGCGCCACCTTCGAACGACACACAGCCGAGGCGGCCAGACTTCGTCTGCAGTTGGACAAAGCACACGACACTCTCAGATCGGCCGAAGCCCTTATCGGCCAGTTAAACGATGAACAGGCCAGATGGCAGAAACAGGTGAATTGTCTTAACAGAAATCTGACCAACAGGTTCTGCGTGTTGAACGTGTGCTCCACTTATTTTTGATGTAGACAAACGTAGAAACCATTAATGAGTCTTTATTAAAAACGTTAATAAGACCTCCAGTCACCACAGACCACGTAAGATGATGAAGGTCTGATAGCGGAATTTTCACGCTATCAGGTTTCCCTTGAATTTCACTTAGCCTCCCTTTCAAAAGGGTATCCTCATCCTTGGAACTCGCGTCAGCCCTGTGCCCCAGATACACTCGTCGCGGTGTGACATGGTGGTAACTTTCATAGATTATGCTCTGCACCACCTGGGTTCGATTCCCGCTGGGATTACGTATGGAGACCGAGGCGAGGCCGAAACTGCGGTCTGCTCTAGCCTGGAATTGTTAGCATTGACTGCGAAATTGTGCCACAAGGATTTTATTAGGCCTTAGGATGTCGTTGAATTTCACTTAGGTTTGCCTAGCAAAGGTAATTTCTCATCTAGACTGGCAAGCAGTTTCGACTTTTCCTAAGTCGTATCGTCACCCTCAACGAGATTCGAAATCCGGTTGTGCGCGTAAAATAACAATCTGTTACCACTCCAATACAGAGCCACGGGGCAAATGGGACTTTCAGTGTAAACTAGGTTTTTTCAATATGGCCCGTTTTTGATTCCTGCTGGAGGTGGTGATAAGACCTGGGCGAGGCAAATACTGTGGTCTGGTGGAAATGAGGAATCCTTTTTCTGAACAAGGCTATGGGGAATTTAGTCACATCGTGGGGCCTATTCATATAATTAAGGGATAATTCCGCTATCAATGAGTAACAGCTTATGTATGAAAAGAAGCTGAGTTTTTTAGAATCCCTGGATAGATTGGTGTTGGCAAATCTTTCATTCCGCTTAAAAGAGCGTTTGAAATTAGCCTCATCGTAGACCGAAGTAATACTGCCTTGTGATTTTAATTACTGCATTGTACTTAGATGACTCACATCCGATGAAGGAGCACAAATAAAGGTCTTGGTATAGTTTCTCGGTAAATATTTCGTAGGCATGTGCACTGCTTGTGTGTGTGTATGTGTGCAATGCTCACTAGTCAATTGATGTTAGAGCCCGAGCCCGACTTCAGGTTAGTCAAGCCTTCTCCTAATCCTGTGGCTCTTTCTGCTTTCTTTCCCTATTTTCCCAATTCTATTTAATTATGAAGAGAAGATCTTGCTTAACTTTCCACGCTCCTTCCTCCTATTCAGGATATTATTTGTTCTGTCAATTTCAATTAACTGTGAAGTCTTCTGTTAAAAGCTCGCCTTAATTGCCGTACATTGCTTAATCATATTATCTTCAGCTGCGACAACTCAGTGGCCGTTTGTCAAATCTACCGGTGCTCTCTTTGATCGCAGCCGCATTTATCACCTACCTTTCCGCCAGCCCCGAAGACATGAGAGCCAGTCAGTTGGTCACTTGGTCTAAACAGCTTGCGGAGCTCGGCTTGGACGTGGCCCAGTTGGACGCTGATCTCAGCCTCGACTCCACACCTCCAGCCACCCTCACTGTGGAGAGTCAAGAAGCGGCGAATGCAGACTCAAGCAGGGTTGGGTTCGATCTTTGTGCCTTTTTGAGCACAGAGCAAGAGCAGTTGAGGCGTCGTAATCAAGGCCTGCCCTCCGATCAACTGTCCAACGAGAATGCACTTATCATTCTCCATGTGGGTTATGGGCTTAATGATATCTGGAGTCCAAGCCCCTTTTTATCTATGACTGCTCCAGGTTTAGTCAAAAGTCTTAAAATTTGCACATATTAGTGAACTTTTAGTTCTCTACACTTCAATGAGCACGTTACTCTTTTTCTGAAATGCGTTTACCATGAAAAAATTATCATATTTTTTATGCATGCATACTTAGGAGCTGCTTTACCAAAGTAGCAACCTTTGGGAAATATTTGCTTTTTTCAATACATAATTTCGCATCTATTCAGAGTATTTAATTTACCCAAACAAACTTGCATTCATTTTAGCATCTCTATTTAGCCTATATTGGAACTAAATTCAATTGTTTGTATAGTCATTCCTTATGGACCAAAATACATTACATTTATATGATTTTTAAACAGTTTTTGTGTCTAGGGACTCTCGGGATTGGAACCGTGTACATGAAGGCTAAGAGGCAAACAAGTTACCATAAGGCCATACTTTCCTAATCACATTGAGCTAGACAACAAGTTTGGCTTTCAAGACAAAATGAACCTCCCTATAGCACATCATCTTTTGGAGCATATATGTCAAAAGGTATTTAACCTGATGGGCAAGAGGCTTTTATTAACCGTTTTATTCAGATCGTCTCGAGCAAAATGGCAAACTCATGGTTTACCATCTTTTCGAAATTCGTCACAAAACGGCGTGAAATGAAGGAAGCTTAATTTGCCTTGAAAGTCAATCGTATAATGTATCATCCGGGGTAACGGTTTTTTTTTGTCTTTGTTCTTATTTCGCAATGGTTTTTGGTGCGGCGATGAGGCAAGGTTCAGACTAAAATTCATTCAGGAAGAAATTTGCCTTTTGCGGTGTCTTTTATTCTCTTCGTGAACAGTAATCCTATCTAATGTTGGTTTGACCTCGTTTTCGCAACTTGATCGCAGCGACAGGGAGACCTTGTGGAACATATCTAATCCAGCGTCCTCTGTCATAGTAGTATTGGTGGTTTCCAGCATCGGACCATTGATTTGGTACATTCGCAAACGTTTCGCTGAAATCGTAATCGGTTTCGTCAATGAAAGGCTCCATTGTTAGCACAGATTTACTATTTTGTTCAAGGGAATTGCCTTCACTTGCCACTTTGATAAGTTGTAACTCTCTACTAACGATGACACCTTTCAGTGACGATGCCGATTACGATGTCGACTACGATTTCAGCAAAACGTCTTGGAATATACCAAGTCAGTTGTCTGATGCCGGAAATCACGACTGTAAATTATCACGCATACTATGGATTCCGAAAATGGTGCGTTTCTCTAGGTCTTCCTGCCAATATGATCAAGTCGCGAAAGCCAAGTCAAGCAACTACTATAAATCGAAATGAGACTTCGACCAAAGTAGAGGCTACAACATCTTGGTTTTCGTATCTACATTGCTCTTATTAGGCATGAGAAGCCATTTAGGTTCAAATCTATCCACATATTTGGTTAAGAACTAGAGGGCGCTATTGGTAGGTCGGCGATTTAGGCCTTCATCATGTACTTGCCTACGAAGAAATATAAAACTAGGTTTCTCCATTTATCCCCCAAATTTGTATTCTAAGGAGTCACTGCGACTATAAAGTCTTACAAAAATTATCATCTGGAAAATAAATTCGTGAATCTTCTGATTACTTCTCCTTAACATTTGCTTTAAAAGTAGTAATAGCAGAGCAGCTTCATTTATGGAAATTAAATGCTGTTTTCTGGTTTATTATTTTAAAGAATTATTGGCCGGGACATGACATAATCGTAGCTTTCATACCACGGATACTTCCTGCATGGTTAATGCCGACAAAATTGTAGCCTCATTATTTTTTTAAATTCTCTACTTTGCTTATTCTCATGCTACGTGCTTGCCCAATACATTTTACAGACTACCCTCTGCCCCTTGCTTGTGGATCCCTCTTCTCGTGCTATAAAGTGGCTACAACGCCATCTGAAGGGCTCCCGACTCGAGGTGATCAATCAGCAGGTAGCTCTTGACCGTCAACCTTTAACAGCTCACCCAGATACTCCTAGTGTCTGCCATTCAGCCCTCTTAATCTTCGCATTAGTTTGCCATTCGACCTTGTTGACACGATAAAGCTTAGTCTTGGCTTGAGGCAATGACACGATAGACCACTATTGTATATTATAGAAGATATACATATCCAAAATTGCGTTGCCTTCTACACTGCCCAAATTTGTGAGTAAAATTAGGCGTTTTGCTAAAGTAAAACAATTATATAACCAAGTATGACATGTAGGGAAGAAAATGCTTTACAGATAAAAACCAGTTCAAAACTTCACACGTAGATCCACATATTCATGCATTTTTTGCCCAATCGGGAGCTCAAAAAGATCTAAGTTATAATACATTTGTCTGACCGAATAGGAGATATGGTTGCGCCCACGGGCCTTTGACAGATGCTGAGGGATCAGTTATCCCGATAGGAAAGAATCAACCACATAAGGTACCTTTTTAGGCAGGACTCTGTCCTTTCCGTCACAACTTTAATTCCTTGTAAATAATTCAATTTTTGAGACTTTTTAATAAATCGCTAATGCAGAATGCCCTTATATTGCTTTTCTTCTTCAGGAATGAGCTACTGCTTTCAGCATAGCAGGTTTCTAAGCCATGTTAAATAATCTTTAGTCTATCTCCTGTGTGGCAATATTCGTTAAAGCCAGAAGCCATTTAAGCCATTTTAAGGCAAATCTTAGCCATCAACTGTATTTTTCTAGACTTATTCTCTAACGTCTCTTAAAGTCTGTGCGTTTTCACAGTATGCACAAAGTGAAGAACCAATCGAGGATGCTCGTAGAACTTCGAAGACCTTCTTCTATAACTATACTTCTACAATTAGCTAAATTTCTTCACTAAGAAGTTAAGTATCTTGTTTGCGTATTGCTTTTATTCAGGGTATTACAAAATATTGTTGTATTTTGTTGGCGGGATAGTTTTTTGGTGTGATGCCTGATTTACGTCCATGCCCCTCACAAAACCTTCTAAAAATGCGAACCAAGTGATT